GCTCCGGATCTGGATTTCCAACTGGAGTACTGCATGACCCTAGATTCCTAAATATTTAACACAGCCAGTAACAACGCAAACCTACTCTCTGCTTGCATGCTTTATCTCGGCCTCAGTCACTAGAGGTCACAGGTCACAACTTCTGTCCATTATGACAACTGGCGAAAACTATTGCACTGACAGCCTAGTGTCATGCTCAAGGACAAGGACTCTGGAGCTGGGTTGCCAGGTTTGATGCCACTTACTAGGTCTACCACTTACTAGGGTGGGGTGTGAGCATGATGCTAACCTCTCTGTCATCTTTAAAATGAGGATAATGATAGTAGCTACTTCCATGGGTTCTTGTGAGGATTAAATAAATTAATATTGGTCAAGCGTTTAGATCAGTGCCTGGGGCACAGTAAGTGCTATACAGGTGCTTGTTAGTAAGTTGGTGTTGGGTTTGTCCACAGCCTCCATGCTGCCTCCTCCAGGCTGCTGATGGACGTATTTAAGGGGCCACTAGTTACTGAGTGCTGGGGGGGGGGGGGTAGGTGAGAGGGAGGGAGACAGCTATTATGAGAAGTGCTTTTCATTTAATCCTCAGAACAACCTATGTGGGAATCATTATAATCCCCATCTAAGATGAGAAACTAGGGCTTTAAAAGCTAGTGTATTTTGGGGCCAGCAGGGGATATGGTGGTTGAAGCATTAGACTCCCACATGGTCAGTCAACCAAGGTTTGAGTCCTGGACCCAGGGGTTTGAGAATCACAATGGGTGTGTGCGCATGTGTGCCCAAAGTCCCAAGAGGAGAATGGAGGAGAAGGGATTGCAGTGTGACTATCCCCCCAGGGGGTGATTTCTCACTTTCTCTCTCTCTGTCTCTCCAGCATGTGCATAAGCCCTATAGCAAAAATCTCTAAAAACAGAAAGAGAGAGAGAGAGAGAGAGAGAGAGAGGGCGAGCTAGTTGTACTTTGCCCAAGGTCACACAGTTTGTAAATGCCAGAGTTGGGATTTTAATTCAGGCTCATCTATTCCCAGAGCTACTGTTAAAAACTGGGAAGCTATAATACACTGTACTGCTTTCCCCAACCTAAGTTAGTCCCTTACCGCTTGCGCTTCTGCAGTCCTCTCACTGGCTATGCTGTCATTCTCTATTCCTTCTAACTTAACTTTCTATTTCCTGTAGTTTCTCTCCATGTGGCCCACCCTTTCCTTCTCTCTCATTCCCTTCTTTTCTCCCTTCTTTCATTCCTTTGTTCGTGCAACATTCCCTGAGTACCTGTGTACCAGGTTCTGTACTAAACTGGAGAAAGCAAGAGAAATGAGCATGTTGTCTTCAAGGAGCTCATGACCTTGAACAAATGATCACTGACAATATAGAGAAGTAAACTGGGGTACTAGAAATAAACTGTGGAAGCCAGACTGGGGAGGGAAAGGGGGAGGAAGGAGAGTTTCTTTAAGGAGGGGGCATTTAGCTGCCTTCATGAATATTTCAGTCAGACAATTTCTTATCATTCTTTAACAGTCCTGACTTCCTCTTTGTTGCCTTTAAGATCTTTGAGATGTCTCT